AACCTCTGGAAACCTGGATGGTTTATAAGAAAGGATTTGGAGGAGGCATCTTGCCGTTAGGGGGTTCCCTGCAAAGAGAGAAGCACATAAAGCATCTACAAGAGAACATAAATCCCCTCTGTATGAGCAGATGGACATCCTTTGATTTGACTTCTTCACCAGAACTGGCTGGGCAAGAGGAGCAAAGTCACTCCTGGTGCTCAATTTGTAATATTTGGTGGGATTTAAGTGCCCTCAGGGTCTTCTCTGGGGTTGTTTGGCAAGTTGCACCCTTGCTGTTCAGCATTAATAAATGAAGTTATTTTCCCTGTGCTGGAGACCCTGGAAGGACATTCCTGGAGGAAGCTCTCAAAAAGCCTCTCCAGGATAAACAGCAAAACAGAGCTGAGGAATGAGAGAATTCAGGGAGAAGCAAGCAGCTGTAGGAGTCTCCACACTCTGCTCCTGATGTGTCAAGGACTTGTGACATTCTGAGAAGGTGGTGACCTTGAAAAATCAGCAGAGTGGTGCTGTCAGTGAGGTCCTGCAGAGCTGAAACCTTCTCTTTTTCTGAAAAAAAACCTCTGAGCAAGAATTTCCTGCATATTTCTCCCTCCTAACCTGGCTGGGGTGTCCATTCCAAGAGGGAGGGTCCATGTAATTTATTAAGAAGGTGGCCAGGTACTTATTTACAACGGCTCTGCTGAAGGAGCAGATCGATTGAGATAAGGGAAATGAAGAGCTCTCGAGGTGTGTTGGCAAAGAAAAATGCTCACTGGAGGTTGAATTAAACACTCCAGGGCATGCAAGGCTTAGAGATAAGCTAAGAACTTTGGCTGTGGACATACAGAGCAGTGTTTTCATGGCTCCTCCTGTGCTAATGGGAAGAAAATCATGGTTGGTTTGAAAGGAACAACTCTTTGACCCTTTCCCCTGGTTCAGACTTGAGCAGAGCCTGTTCTGGGCATGAGTGTGTTTGTAAAATTGAGAGCTTCAGGAATTCTGCATGGAAAAGGAGAGGTTGGGGTCAGTGCATCCAGGAAGTGCTGGTGCTCAGGAATTTGAAGGTTAGACCACAGTAGATGACACTCGGCCCATTTCTCAACACAAAATTGCCCACATGAAGGAGATTGTTTGGGAGGAGAGCTCAGGAGAGTGGAAAAATGCAAATGCCAGGTTTGATCATTGGAAACAGTGAGGAGGAAAAAAAATGAATGATGGGAGCCACGAGAGAGTTGAGCAACACTGAAATGAGATTCTGATCTTTATAGACTTTCCCAATCTTTTCTAAAGATTGGTTGTTGGGTTGTTGTTGGGTTTTTTTCTGGGTGGAGGAGAAGGCTGGAAGGTTCATGAGGTTCCCACCTGATGATCAATAATAATGACAGGGAGCTGAAAGAACTGGGTTTCTCCTAAAGATAAATTGACTTTAGGAGAGAGAAAGTGTTTACAGCTGGAAGCAAAGTAGAAACCAAAAGAGGGTGCTCGGGGAGATGTTATCACAATCCAGGAGCTGTGAGCAAGCCAGGAGCAGGAGAAGGAGCAGGAGGAGGAAGGGGAGCAGGAGGAGGAAGAGGAGCAGGACGAGGAGGAGGAGGAAGGTGCTCAGCTCTGCTCAGCAGCAGAGCCACTGCTCATGGGGACATGTTTTGAGATTCCACCCTTCAAGTGACTCCACAGTGCCCCATGAAACACCAAATTTGTGTTTCACCGTCTCAGGGCTGATGACACCTTGAGAACAAGGCTCTTGCTGGAGATTGTCTTTTGCAGATTAAACTTTCCAGACTGTAACTCAGATCAAAGCCAGGTGTGACTGTTTCCCTGCTGTACCGAACAGGGAGCAGTGTGGAAAAGCAATTAGAGGTATTTCTATATGTTTTTTGGGTGGTTTTTTTTTAATCTTAGATAATCTTCCCAGCAATGGAAACAAATAGTTGAGGTCACCAACGTACAAACTCCTCTTCCTATGACTGGTATTTTCATTTTACCACTGTAGTAACCACCAAAAAAACCAGCCCAGAGACAAGCTTGAGTTTGGCTGTTCAAATGATTAAAGATTATTAAGTTGGAATCCTAAACTTCATCAGGGTCCTACTGATATAGCTCAGAAAAATCCTTCTGCCTTCACAGCTTTGTGGATGGAGCCTGCAACAGGTTGATGGTAACTCACTGGATGCTTTATTATCATTTTTGGGAGCTGGATAAAGGGACTTTGGAAAGCTTTGGGAAGGATGTTGGATGTGGAAACAAACTCTACAGATGTTACCCCAGAGTTAACCTCAGACACCAGAAAACATCCACATTTTGGACTCTCAATGGCTGGAGGATGAGTAGAAACAAGTAAACTAATGTTTTTCCCTGGAGATTCAATGCAGGCATCTCTGCAGATGGTTTACAGAGATAGGACCACTTACCCCCCAGTCTTAAAGCTGGGAACACCTCCTAAGTCCCAGTCTTGTGGGAGTTCAAAGGATTAAAATTTGGGTATGTGGCACCCTAAAACTCAATGAGGCGACAGAGGCAACTCAACAAGGCAACAGAGGCGACTCAACAAGGCAACAGAGGCAACACTCAAAAAGTCCTCTGAAGACTGAAACAATGTTTTAGAAGGTGTCTTTAGTCCAGAAATTTTGGTCCAGTGCTTTGTAGAATATTTAACAGCGAAACAAGAACATACACTTGGCATGGGCTCCATTTCACAGATGGCTTTCTGCCAGCTGTGTACCCTGAATTAATCTAAAGCTCAGAAAACCCCATACCTAACCACTGAGATAAGGAAAATTAGTTCAGTGGGTCCTTTCTTCAGTTTTCTCCTGTGGGTTCCTGCAGGAACTCATCTCCTTCCTCCAGCTTAGGTCTCTGCATGTCCTTCAACCCAGGGCTGAACTTTTGTGGGTGGGAGAGTTTCAAGGAATTTACCCATGCTGGTTGTCAGGGATGATGGTGTGATTCACCTGGAGACTCCCAGGGTGCAGACATGCCCCAGCCACCCAGGGGGGGTTGAGTCTGGCCAGCCCAGCCGGTGGGGGCACGGCCGTGATTCACCCAAAGCACACAGCTCAGCTGGGCAGGGGCATGGAGATGTCTGCTGCTCCCTGGTTGCAAAAGCAGCCTGGGGTCAGCTGGAGACACCCCAGAGACACCCCAGAGACACCCCAGCAAGCATTGGAGGGTGGGTGGCAGGGACACAATTTTGAGCTCCTTCCTCCCTTTTAATGCAATGGAAAAAAGGGGGCACTTCTGGAGGGCAGTTCATGCTGTTTGTCTCAGCCTCCCTCCCTGGGGTAGGATGGATTGTCCTCTAATGTCAAGATTAATCATCTCCCAGAAGTCCAGCAGAGGTGGGAAGAGGCATCAAAGTTCAGGAAATCAGCTGGGAGTCCTTGGCTTGGGTTGTTGGGTTGTTGGGTTGTTGGGTTGTTGGGTTGTTGGGTTGTTCCACCTTGTCCATCTGAAGTTTGTTTAGTGGAGGGCACGTTCTTGGCTGAGCTGATTATCCAGGTTCTAAACTCCTGGTTGGAGCCATTTGGGATCCAGAAATGGATGTCCTTATTTGCCTGGAAAGGGTGGATTTGTAAGAATTAATCTGGAGCTGGCAAAGCCCTTGAGATGTGGCTCCTGACCATGTGAATGTCACCTTCTTCTCAATTCTGTCCCCTCTAGACCAAGTCCCCTCCAGGACAGGAGTTAATTGGCTGCAAGGATTCTTCCCTTTAAAACAAAGCAATTTTAAAATAATTTTTATCCTAGCCTAGAGAACTACGACAATTTTCTTCTGGACTTTGGCAACAATAGAATTCTTATGTTATTTTTTAAGTCAAAGCAAAAAAAGAGTAAAGGCTGTAATTCCCTGACAGCACTGTTGATAATTTAAACACAGCAGGCTGTTCCCAAATGAAAACCACACAGCAAAAAAATGAATGTAAACAGAAATACACACTGCCCAGGCAGGTTCCTCTTTGTCATTAATTCAGGGCAGAAAAGACAATCACGAGATTTAATTAGAAGAAAAGGAAATTATACTCTAAAAATCCCTTCAGTTTTAGTAATCAAGGTTATTATTAGAAGCACCAGTAAAAAACACTTTAAAAATCTATCTAATTAGCTGCATATCTGCTGATCTCCCTGTAGAGCTGACTTGTTTGTCTCCAAGGCTTCACCACCATAAAGGTTCATGGACGCTCCTTTCAAGACTTCCACTGGGCTGAGCACAGAATTTGCACTCAAGTTTAATTGGGATTGGTTTTGGGTTGTTGGTTTGGTTTGGATTTTATTTCACTCCCCTTACTTTAACCAAAGCTCCACATGAATGATGCTGTTCCCCTTCCCAAATTCTTGTTGCTGCCTTTCCAAAGACTCAGAGCTTGATGGTTTCAGCTGCTGGAGTTATTCCTTTTGGGTGACTCAGCTGCCAAAATTTCCTATAAAACATCTTGTAAGAGGTGTGCTTGTGTCTCAAAGAAAGAAATGCATGTTTGAGTCCCTGGTTGGAAAGGAAATTATTGGGAG